AAGTCAATCCGTTTTCCAAAAATCAGCTTTTTACGTCAAGGGCTTTAAGCAGGATCGTGATTAATCATTATTTCAATGGCCAGATTTTTCAAAACACCCTGTATACATTTTTAAAAAATCTTAAAATATTATTCTGAAAATTTTTCAGAATAAATAAATACCTAAATATTGAAACTTAATAACGTATTGAAACATACAGCGCCATAATATCTCGACCTCCGCCCGTTATGCTCGTAACAGGTTGAAAAACAATATATCTAAAACAACTGATGCGTTATTCTCCAACCTGTTTCGAACTTCCATCGACAATCGACCGATGCAGCAACGTTCCTTTCCCACTCCGATTATCTCGACCGCCACCCTGTTATGCTCGTAACAGGTTGAAAAACAACGTATCTAAAATGACTGCTTCTCCAACCCGTTGCGAGCCTCCATCGACAATCGACGGATGCAGCAGCGTTTCTTTCCCACTCCTGTTATCTCGACCGCCAGGCGTTATGCCCGCAACTGTTTCAAAAAACCTGCTTCTTTTATATCGTATTATTTTTAAGCTGTTGTGGGAAGCCCAATACCACCGTCGACGGCATCGACCGAAGCAGCTACGTTCACCGTAGCGCATTCCCCACTCCGTTGTCCGTTGTCTCGCCGCCTGTATCGATGGTTGACGAAATAACATGTTTTCCATCCATACTAGTTGTTTTTTGGAATTGTTTCGAGCAGCATAGAATTTCGTGGCGGTGCAGAGCGCCGACTTCGTTTTTCGTTTCACGAGCGGCCGATCTCTATGTGTCGTTATTTTATATCTGTTATTTTTTAGAAGTAGTAACGGTTGCGTTATGTTATTTCTAAATAATTGTTATAAAATAACAGATAGTTAAATAACAACCCATCACTATATTTTATGAAACACCCTGTATATATTTTTTAAAAATCTTAAAATATGTAAAACTACGAAATAAAATATACGTGTTTAAGAGTTTTTCCAAAAAACTCACCGGTTTTTAAATAAAAAATATTCGAATATTTGAGGGTGGTTTCACCCCCTTAGAATTCGAGTTTCGAAAAATCTCTTCTTATTGAACTTCTACACCCTAAAGTCAATCCGTTTTCCAAAAATCAGCTTTTTACGTCAAGGGCTTTAAGCAGGATCGTGATTAATCATTATTTCAATGGCCAGATTTTTCAAAACACCCTGTATACATTTTTAAAAAGTTCTGAAATATTATTCTGAAAAATTTTTCAGAATAAATAAATACCTAAATATTGAAACTTAATAACGTACTGAAACATACAGCGCCATAATATCTCGACCTCCGCCTGTTATGCTCGTAACAGGTTGAAAACAATATATATCTAAAACAATTGATGCGTTATTCTCCAACCGTTTCGAACTTCCATCGACAATCGACCGATGCAGCAACGTTCCTTTCCCACTCCGATTATCTCGACTGCCACCCTGTTATGCTCGTAAACAGGTTGAAAACAACGTATCTAAAATGACTGCTTCTCCAACCTGTTGCGAGCCTCCCATCGACAATCGACGGATGCAGCAGCGTTTCTTTCCTACCCTGTTATCTGACCGCCAGGCGTTATGCCCGCAACTGCCTAAAAACCTGCTTCTTTATATCGCATTATTTTAAGCTGTTGTGGAAGCCCAATCCTGTTATCTCGCTGGACCGCCCAGGCGTTATGCCCCCGCAACTGTTTCCAAAAACCTGCTTCTTTTATATCGTATTATTTTTAAGCTGTTGTGGGAAGCCCAATACCACCGTCGACGGCATCGACCGAAGCAGCTACGTTCACTAGTTGTTTTTTGGAATCGTTTCGAGCAGCATAGAATTTCGTGGCGGTGCAGAGCGCCGACTTCGTTTTTCGTTTCACGAGCGGCCGATCTCTATGTGTCGTTATTTTATATCTGTTATTTTTTAGAAGTAGTAACGGTTGCGTTATGTTATTTCTAAATAATTGTTATAAAATAACAGATAGTTAAATAACAACCCATCACTAGTTTCTATGCAATTTGACAAATAAATAAAGCTATCTCTTTAGTTGTCAGTTTTGAGTCAGTATTTTTTAATTCTCTTTCGTGTCGATTGCTGATTGAATTGGAGCCAGAAATGGCTCAAAACGAAATAAATAAATTACCAACATATTTAGGCTGAGGCGACAAACGCCATATCCAAACTACTTTCATTTAAATCCCGAATAACTTATGAAAAGGAATACAAAAATTTTCAAAAATGGAAGCAATTAAAAAACGTACGAGAAGAAATAAAGTTTTTAACCTATCCTCGCTGTTAAAGTATCATTTAATCTACCCTTGCGGTTAAAGTACTACTTTATCTACTATTTTTGATAGATATAAGGCAATTTTAACAGTTGCTATGAAAAAAAAACAATATTATACACATTTTGTAGTATATCTTTACTTGATTCAAGTACTATTTTCATATTTATATGAAAGACTGAAAGGACGTTAAAGCAACCATTTTGATAAAACTTTGTCAAGTTTGTTCTTTTCTATGTTTCTTTTGATAAATTAAACTTTTTTTTGAGTCTGTTACGCTTTTCTGTATCAATTTAATTTAATTTCTTGTTTATTTTATATTTGGTTCTATATGAAAAGTGTCTAAATCTGAAAATATATTAAACCTCTACTTGATTTTTTTCGATTTGACATCATTTATAAAACAAGGTTTAAACATTATAATACTGTAATTAGATTAAAAATTACCAGAGTATATTTTTTCGGTCTTTAATATAGCCAAAAAATTTAGAAACTCTGGAAATTAAGAAGAAAAAAACTTTAAGAGCTCTAGAAAGAATTTAAATTCAAATAACGCGAACTTTAGGAATTCCAACTTCAAAATAATTAAGGTGAAGTTAATGGTTATATCTGGTAATTTTTATTTCGTTTAAACATTCCTTTCTTTTGACAGAAAATAAGAACTCTTAAGTTCTTATACAGGGTGGTCCGAACTGTATTCCGGAAACTTCAGCAGCATATTCCGCAGATAAAAATAAGTAAAAAAGTTTCTATAAATGTAAGTCATAAAGTGCTTAGTTTCGGAGATACAGGGTGTAGAAGTTGCATTTTTATTTCGACTTTTTCCAAATAATTTCTGAAGTAACGTCAATATTAAGCCCAAATTATATTTACGAGTAAACCGGTACTCGTATAGGAGTACGAGTTTAAATGAAAATTTGTGTCTGGGTGTTTTTTCACATGAGAAATTTGATTTTGATATCAACATGACTCCTACTTGTAGAGGGTACACAACTTCTACATCCTGTATCTCCGAAACTACTGTTTGACCAGCGGATCTGAAGCTACGGAAGGAATGCGAGAAAAAAAAATCGTTATTGCCACGTTTATCTATAAAATTGCAAAATTGCCAGACATGAACTATAAATTTAATATATTTTTATTATATATAATGTGTTTAGCATATATTCTGACGTATATTACTAAGGAATTTTAACGTAGTTCATATTGTTCGATATGTTTTATTTAATAACTTATTTCTTTCATTCTGTATAATCTGCTTATTATGAAAGTTGAAGATTTTTCAGCGATATCATTGACAAACCGGCATCGCCGCGCATGGCCGCCTATTCATCGAACATGATTGGCGAGAGTACGTCACATGATTTGTTACCACGCGGTTGCCATGGCTTTTGCGCCTTCCCTATTCGCTTGCTTTATCCCCAACTTCACGGTCTCTTCTGAAAAGAGTAGGAATATTAAATACTATTGAAATATCCAGTGGCGTGCTGTTTTTTTGATCATTATTACTTTATTTCATTATTTTATACCGGTTATCCTAAACTTTATTCGTCTATATATTTTCGTATATTTGATAGTTAAGTTGTGTTTTTATTGTTTATCTTGTTATAATGTTTTTCGTTCGTAGTTTTTAATTATTAATATCAAAGTTTAATCGTTTATTTGTGTTTTAAAATGAATAAATTTGTTAAGGGTAAGACGCTTACATAGTCAGACAAGAAAATAATAACTAATTTATATAAGTAAGTTAATAATAACGTGGATGAAATCTCATTTGGTTTATTTCCTTGTGTTTTATAATAGGGTTTGCGATGAAGAAGCTACAGAGAGTTCGCTTAATTTGCCGCTTAAACGTAAACTTGAGCGGATGTATCGGCTATAAAAAAATCACAGAAGATAAAAAAAAGGCTGAAAACTAACCCTCCGATAAAATGATATCCAGCTCTGGAAAACGATCACGTGAGACTGCTGTCGAAAAGCTCGACGACTTTTTCGAAGTGGTCAGGAATTTGATAAATAGATTTTATCTCGAATTCAAACTCGTCCCCGCAATTAGAAAGCTTTTTGCAAAAATTGCAGGAAGAATCGAATTTTCCCTTTGCAGGGAAACGCTTAGGGAGTTATTAAAATCAAATGATTTTTTTGGCGTAAATGTCAAAATAACAGATGAATATTAATGGAGCGGCCCATTATATTGCAGAGAGAAATTATTTTTTACTGGCATTTACTTTTAAAAAATAAATGAAATATTAATGGAGCGGCCCAACTATATTGCAGAGAGAGATATAAATCTATACGCGAAATTCGAAAATATAGCCAAGTATTATCTATTTGGATGAAACATATGGGTAGACAATGACCTAACCTTTAAAAACTGCTGGCGGAGCGATACCATATCTGGTGTAATAGGCAATATTGGATCTACTGGTGAGTAAAATTATGTTTTGTTTCGCGCTTCCAAAATTAACTATTTTCAAGATTTTTTTTTTTTTGCTGGAAATAGTTATATCTAAAATATGTATTATAGAAAAAAATATAGTTAGTATAGATATATAAATAAATATACCTCAAGACTCAGTCTTGATCATCTGCTGATGGCTGACATGGTTAGCGAAAACGTGCGTCCAGTGTAAAATTAAAAGTGTTTTTGGTGTATTGTACTGATATAGTGTTTTATTTTGCTGTGTAACACCAAAGGTTCCAACCCCAGCTGTAATTATTTCTTCTATTATATTAACAACACAATAATAAAATTATTCAAAATATTTAAGGGAGCTTTAATAAAAGCTTTAGTGTTTATCTACTAACTCAACAGTAACGATTCAGCATAAAGTTTTTTGAAAAAATTATTAATCTGAGTATTATATTTATGATACACATTATTTCATATAACACCGTACGCCCATGCCTATTTTATGAAAGAAATTGGGCGTGTTTTGTTTACAACTGCGTTCCCCTGCCGATACCCCGTAGCTACAGATCCGTTGGTCACACTATAAGATTTTAAGACATACATTCATACGAACTGTTATTTATTTTAATGGGCAGAATATGCTGCCAAACTTTCCGGAATACAGTTCGGACCACCCTGTATATAAAAACGATAAAAGATGAATTTTTATATTATTGTAATATTTTTTTATAGAAATGCTTTTGAATAAGCCTTTTTTTTATATTTAAATTAGAATTAAAATTCAATTTTTAAAAAATATTTTCTTTTACAATCAATATATTTCCTTGGATTGCGAAAAATCTAAGTTAATTTCTGAATATTTTTATTTCCTAGGTATAGCTCAATGGTGATGTAGTGTAGGTGTAAGAAAATCTCTATATTGAACTATACTTTGTTTATAAAATTTGATCGGAAGTGACAAAACAAATAAAGCTTCACAATGTACTAATCGAATTGTTTTTAATTTCTAAAAATAAAATTTTGGTTTTAATTCTAAAATGGATTGTAATTAACACATTTTAAAATAGTACAGATATAGTAACTATTGTACAGGGTGGGTCAAATTCGACGCTTTTAAATGGAAACAACCTTTTCTATAGGAGATAGACAAAAACTAATATCGGTGTCTGGAGCTCAGTTTTTGTTAAAAACATGATGGTGAAAACCGCATATCGATATCTGTTACCGTTTCGGAGTTACGGGGTGTTTTTCAAAAATATGCATTTTTAACAAATCGCTGTAACTTTTTTGCTATGGAAAATTTTGTATTTTTATGCAAACATTTTCAAAGCACCTTTTTACGTAGAAAATGGTTTAAGTATAATTTTTTTAAAATTAATAATTTAAGAATTATCAACAGAAAATTTGATTTTTTATATGGGACACCCTGCATATTTTTAATTAGCTGAAAAGAATTTAAAATTACCTTTCCAAAAATATAGCACACTTGATATTTTGTTATAATCCCTTCGAAATACAGATTTTTTAAAAGTTCGCCACTTTTAACTAGTAGCCTTTGGACCCCTCATTGATCATATGCCCTTAATGGAACTCGAAAACATATTTTTCCAGCAAGACGACGCACCGCCTCTGAACGCTGAAGTTATCAGCAAATTTCTGCAGCCAAATTCAAGAATAATTGAATAGCTGACCAAGAACCCAGCCGTTGGCCGTCGAGGCCGCCTGACTTAGTGCCCATGGATCTAATCCTATGGATATATTTGCGAAAGAATAAAGGTTCCTTATTCTTCTGTATAATCTAGACAAGAATTAGAAATACTTAGCAGTCATGAGAGGGTATCTTTTACCCCCACTGAGTTAATGAATTCCGCAAGAAATGTTCAAAAACTGCCCCGTCTGTCCATAACAGAAGACGGTCGATATGTCGAACACCTGTAGCAAAATCTCATGTCCTGGTTTGCTATTTATTTTTATTGTTATGAGATATAGTTTAAATGTGTTGATGTTGGTTAAATATATTTTAAATTGTTATAAAATTCTGCATCTCTCTCATAGCAAATATTATTTTCGTTTTAATTGATGCTCACAGCTAGAATTTTTTTGCATTGCAGCCGGTGCCATTCAAAGCCTACTTATTTAAAGCGGGCGAATTTTTATATACTCTATATCTCGAAGAGGAATCGAGCAAAATATCAAGTGTGTTATATTTTTGGAAAGGTAATTTTAAATTCTTTTCAATAAATTAAAAATATACAGGGTGTCCCATATAAAAAATCCATTTTTCTGTTGATAACTCTTGAATTATTAATTTTTAAAAAATTATACTTAAACAATTAAATTCTACGTAAAAAGGTGCTTTGGAAATATTTTCATAGAAATATAAAATTTTCCATAGCAAAAAAGTTACAGCGATTTGTTAAAAATGCACATTTTTGAAAAACACCCCGTAACTCCGAAACGGTAACAGATATTGATGTGCGGTTTTCACCATCATGTTTTTGATGAAAATTGAGCTCCAGACACCGTTATTAGTTTTCGTCTATCTCCTATAGAAAAGGATGTTTCCATTTAAAAGCGTCGAATTTGACCCACCCTGTACAGGATAGTCTAATATATTTTTTTAGGTTAGTTATAGAGCAAATCTAGTATGATCTGATCGTAAATCGTAATGACAGTATTACAATTTTCAATTTTTCCTCTACTTTTTAAAGTGTCACCCTGTATGTACTAAGTAAATTTGGGTTTCTACGTAATCTCTCTATAAATATCATCCAGTTCCAACTCATTAAATCGAAGAGCAAATAGGCAAACGTGTGGTTCAAATAATGACATTGATTAAAAATGATTAACTAAGTTTGTTAGACAGTTAGTGCTTCATAGCCGTCTATAAAGTTTGCCTAGGGCCATATAACTTTATCGAATAGTTATTTAAAAAATTTAATGGAGTATCGGTGGTGAAATTTTGAAGTATTTCCATTGCTTATATAGATAGACGTGACTTTGTTTTAAACTTACATTGTTCTTAGCGATGAGATATTGGAGAAGCTGCCTTCTTCGATGACTCGCAAATTGGGCAAATCAGAGAGAATTCTGTAAAAAATAAAAAAGGAATTTACAGTATAAAATTGATTGGTCGAAATTTGACGAAAGAATAAAAAAGTTGGAGAATCTTAACTTTTGAGGCAGTTGAGGTGGTCATTCTGGATTTGATGTTTTTTTGCGACGAAAAAGTTCTGAATAAATTTCTAGTGAATTAAATTTAGTAATTAATAAACTTTTCTATGTATACAGGGTTCGGCAATAGTGCGTCGGGCATCTGTAGCTCCTAGAATAAAAAAATTGGGAGTTTTGATTAAGTGCAGACCTAAATTATGTACTAGGATGTATTTCAGGAAAATATTTTAACTTCTATAGGGTGGCTCAAAAAAGTGTGAGTGGATCGGGATGATTTTTTTTAAATGGAACACCCTGTATATTATTGCATTTTTAGCTTCCTTTCAGATCACTTTACATACTCCTAAGACATGAGTAAATATATTTCGATAATTTCAGAGATATTAATAAATAAATAAAAATTATATATTTTTCAGCCTTCAGCCAAAAAAATATTAATAATACAAGAACTGTTCTGAAAACAAAACTATATTAGATATTTACTTTAGATGGTCTATTCTTACTTTGCTATAAATATGGAAATCGCAAATCATACAGGATGTTCAAAATTCTACGCCAAACTTTCTAAAATATAAAATAATTTTTCTTCGTTTTTTTAAAAGGAACACCCTGTATATTATTTTTTCAAGAGATGGAGAATTAAAAAATTAACATTTTTTATATTTAGAGTATTTCAAAATTTTTAACGGTTTCGCAGATATTCCCGGTTTTGTATTTCATATGGCATTTTCCACAGTAAATTTTCATCAAAGCCACCTAATGATTTTTCTCTCGTATTTTACCATTGGAAGCGCCATATGAAATAATACTGCGTGTATCCGGAAAACTATTAAAAATTTTGAAATACTTTAAATACAAAAAATGTTAATTTTTTAATTCTCCATCTAATAAAAAAATAATATACAGGGTGTTCCATTTAAAAAAAAGAAGAAAAATTATTTTATATCTTTGAAAGTTTGGCGTAAAATATTGAACATCCTGTATGATTTACGATTACCATATTTATAGCAAAGTAAGAATAGCCCATCTAAAGTAAATATCTTATATAGTTTTGATTTCAGAAGGGTTGAAAAATATTTATTTTTGATTTATTTTTTAATATCTCGGAAACTATCATAATATATTTACTCATATTTTAGGATTATGTAAAGTGACCAGAAAGGAAGCCAAAAATGCAATAATATACAGGGTGCACCATTTAAAAATATCATCCTGATCCACTCACACTTTTTTGAGCCACCCTATAGAAGTTAAAATATTTTCTGGAAATACATCCTGGTATATACTTCAGGTTTGCACTTAAACAAAATTCTCAATTTGTTTATTCTAGGAGCTACAGATGCCCGACGCACTATTGCCGGACCCTGTATATTAAATTGACATAAACGTGTTTTTTTTTACAACTTGTTGCATTTTTAATAAAAATAAGTGGCAAATTTAAATAACAAAAAGTTGTAGAAGACTTAATTCTTGACAATTTTCAGATAAGAATTTTTTTGTATAGTATACCGGGTACGGTTTTAAAAGTGGCTCATCACTAAATTTTTTTATTTTTCCAGATAAAAAAACCAGATTTGGTATGTTAGTATATGACATACATTAGGGTTGATTGACGTATTCAATTGTTTTTGGCCATTTCCTGTTTTACCGGAAATTACTACAACTTTTGATTTTTAAATGGCACCCTTGGTATATTTTTACTTTATTCCATAGAAAATGACACTCTGACTAGAATTACATATCATATGTCAACTTGTGATATTTTCGCTTACAAAAATCGTATTTTAAATTTCATTCTAGAGTGTTATGGCCGTGTTAAAAACACTAATTTCACTCAAGGAGCCTTTAATAGTACAATTCTTTTTCCTTCATTTTTTTCTCTCTGAAACTTTCGTCTTTTCTTCCTAACTGCCAATATTTCATTATGTATGTGCTCTGACCACCAGTATGGCATGCTGTAATCATCGTTGCATCTAATTATTCTTGTAGTGCTTTCTTTGAATGCTTTCTGAACCAGTAATATGCAACTTTCGACGGTTTCGTCGCTACGTCCGCTGACTAAACGATTCTTGAAAATCTTATCCATTTTAGCTAGATCTGGAGCTCCCTTTTTGTACGTTCTTTTGTTTTTATATTTAGATTTTGGTATTTTGATAAGTATGAATTGGTGCTCTAGGAGAGATTTTTGGTCAAGTATCTTCCAAGTTGGTGTTAACATCATGGTTGTGTCGCAGCCATAGACTTAAAATAAAATATAGACTGAGCATCTCATTCATAAATAGCTGGAACATGCGGTCAGACAATGTCTTGTTATTGTTGTGTTATTGTTTTAGGTTATAACGAGTGCGACACGAGCGATAGATAGGTTGTCTCTGTCGTAACGGTCGTTCCCTGACGACTCTGCCGAGAAACACAACACTGTCTTTCGTTTCTCAAGTACACCTGATCTCTCCGTCATCATAGCCGGGTAATTTTTTTATTTTAATGAAGCTATAATTAAATTAAAAATATATCGTATTTAAACTTTTTATATTTTATTAAGATTTAGGACAGGTTTTTAAATAAAAGTTTAGAAAAAACGTCTTAGAGTCCAAAAGGATAAAAAATAATAAAATACACGTTATAAGAAGAAATTTTATAATCTAAATTACGTAATTTTTGAAATTAATAATGAATTTTTAATTTTAGTCAAACATTTACAACCCCTAATATTAATCAAAACAGGATCTATTCCACAGATATAATAGAATCGGCGACAGGGAGAGAAAAAAAAATATGATTGTTGTAATTTTTTTTCTGGTTAAGTGATGTCTTATGTAAATTAGAGAAAACATAAATATGTTCCATTAAAGCAAGGAAGGTGATGATGACAAACTTTTGGCATTTTCGCATATGGTTTAATTGTAATTGTAACACGCGGTTCATAACGACAATTTGACTCGAAATACCAAGTGTGTGGTATCAATATATTCATAAAAAAATGCTTTTTCCAAATATGCTAATGAGTCACCCTTGTTCCATTTGAAAAAATTGACATATGTATGATTAAAAATACGATTTGTACATCTTTTAACCGGCCTACACAAGACACGAAACCCATTAGACGATCAAAACTATTTTTCCAAGGTTCCTTGATTAAAACTTAGTGTTTTTAACAACACCATGACACCCTGGATTGAAATTTAAAATACGATTTGTTTTTAAGCGACAATGTCAAAAGTTGACATATGATATGTCATCCTATTCAGAGTGTCATTTTTTATCGAATAAAGTAGCAATATACCGAGGGTGCCTTTAAAAATCAAAAGATGTAATCATTTCGGTGAAACAGGAAGAGACCAAAAACAATTAAATATGTCAATAAATCCTAATTTATGTCATATACCTACTAACATACAAATCTGTCTTTTTTTATCTGAAAAAATAAAAAAGTTATAGGGGTGAGCCACTTTTGAGACGACCCAGTATATTAAAAAATATTGTTTCATAATGTAATATCATTTTAAAATTCTTGTATGTTATTTTAGATTCTGAAGATAATTTTAATAAACCGGAATATATTTTTAATAAAAACATTATTAATTATTAACAGGGTTATAATTATGATTTTGTTACAATGTAAGTAAATAATGTAAAAAAAATATCTAAATAAGCGCTTTTCTACAACAACGCCACTGACTTCCAATGGGTAAATTGAGAGTTGCCTACCGGTCAAAAGTCGTTTCAAGATCAATGGATTATTTAAGTCAAATTTCTTGCAAATTTGGCACTGGCAAACCATATTTTATAGTTCTTGAACAGAAAAAGTCAATAAAATAAACACTTAAGGACTACAAGCTAAGAAAATGCGTTAATACAGCCGGGGAGATAGCGGCAACAAAGCTTTACCGCACACGTGCAACACGTACTACTAGGTAATAAATGAATGAATAGGCTCCCTCGCCTTTAATCGGTGTTGCCATATTGTAAAGAACTTATCCTTTTTAAACAGTATCCGACTTATAATTTAGTAGTATAAGGACTATTTAATACATCTATGGAATATTAAAACCTACTTTATTGAACTGTAGTATTAATATCTCAATATATGTGTATAACAAGAAAAAAAATATTGATAATATTAAAGACGTGACAAAGGCTCGGTCGACTGTACCCAGAAGTAAACATGTGTACAAAAAAGATTGTTTGTCCGCGTTGAGATGTAAATAGTGTAGTCTATATTTTATTTTAAGTCTATGGCCGCAGCACATTGTTAAATCTATGTAATGTAAGTTCTTGCGGTATCAATGCAAAATGTAATTCTATACGGCGCTCCTGTATGGGTCGAGGCACTAAAATTCCAACGGACGAAAAATATATTGTTTTCCACGCATAGAAAAATGGCCCTAAGGATCTGTTCAACGTATCGTACGTTATCAACAGATGCCGTGTTGGTTATAGCTGGGCTGATCCCGCTGCATTTAGCAGCTGAGGAAAAGCGAGAGTTATATGTCAAACCAGAGATTAACGATGAGGTGAAAAACCATCAACGACGAGGTACCTATCAAAAATGGCAAGAGGAGTCGGATACATCCGACAAAGGAAGGTGGACTAGAAAGTTAATACACAACGTGGAGGACTGGACAAGTAGGAAATACGGAGACGTGGACTATTACATTACGCAGTTTCTTTCCGGGCATGGAATCTTCATGGACTTCTTGCACAGAATAAAGAAAATACCAAATGGCAACTGCATGTACTGCGACGAAATCGACGATGCCGAGCATACGTTGTTCTGCTGTCCAAGATGGGAAAACGGAAGGTCTGCCTTATTGTCGGATGTAGGAATGTTAACTTCGGACACCTTGATTATGAAAATGACCAAAACTAGCGAAATATGGGGAAAGGTAGGGGCATTTATGAAAGAAATAATAATAGAGAAAGGAAAAGATGAAAAAGCAAGAAATGCGGAAGTATCCTAAAAATAAATAGGAGAGAATTATAGATAAAAAAACAACATAGATAAAATAACGTATGTACCCGAAGTAATGCCATGCGACGGTTCCGGGTAAGGGGTGAGTAGGAGCTGACTCCTCGGAGGTGGACTTTTTTAGTGGGTAACAATTCGCCTCCCACACTGTTTGGGGTTCGTTTCTGTGATCGTCTCTCTCGAGATGGTGATGGGAACGAACACCACTCGCCTATTAAAGGTTTTTTACCACCCCCACAAAAAAAAATCAAGGAGCCTTGGAAAGACAGATTTGATCGTCTAATATTTTTCGTGTCTTGTCCTGACCGGTTAAAATATGCCCAAATCCTATTTTTTTCTAATGGAACAAGGGTGGCTAGATTTTGAAAAAGCATTTTTTACGAATAATTTGATACCACACACTTGGTATTTCGAGTCAAATTGTTGTTGTGAACCACATGTTACCATTTTAAATAAACCATATGCGAAAATGTCAAAAGTTGACATATGATATGTCATTCTATTCAGAGTGTCATATTCTATCGACTAAGGTAAACAAATGTCAAGGGTGTCATTTAAAAATCAAAAGTTGTAGTCATTTCCGGTGGTACAAGAAGTGACCAAAAACAATTGAATACGTCAACCAATTCTAATTTATGTCATATACTAGGGTGCAAAATCTCGTTTTTTTATCTGAAAAAATAAAAAAGTTCTAGGGGTGAGCCACTTTTGAGAAGCGCTCGGTATAGCTACCATTCTTGAAATATGAGCCAAACTTATATTTTGTTAAGTAAACACCCTGTATATTATTCTTTTATTTGTCTTGTTATGAGCTTTCAAAAAATATAATATACTCTATGCCAATTTTCATAAAAAATGTAAAAAATGCATTAAGTAGCATGAGGTGGAAATCGCATCATTCTATCTCTACTCCTAAAAAAGAAACTCAATAAAACACACGAAAATAGGATATCTTGTATATTTTGGGTCTAAACAAATCAAAGAAAATGGTTAGTCTATCTTTTCTACCAATATTTATTGACAAATTGTATTAATGCAACAACTTTTGACAATATTATTTTATTATTATTAGACCAGAAAGAAATTTTTGATTTTATTTAACAATTTTTTTCTTTAACCGCAAGGCCATATAAATACTTCAGAGTTTAAAATGTAACAACAGTTCTTAACACCAGTGGTCGAAGTGCTAAACAGAACCGTTTTAAGTGATTATCACTTTTTGTTAATGGATCAACGACAACAAACAAAAGAAGAACAAACTAAAAAAAATGTTTTGTTATAAAAAAATTCGTGGAATATTTTCGGATTTCAATGGAATTACATGTCTGGGTTTACATGCAGTATGTCCCCTGATTGTCTTTAGAAGAGGAAAACCTTTTTTATTATTGACATTTTAAGAAAAATGCATATTGCTTGAAAAATTTTGCTTGCTCTAAAAGGATTAATCCCAGAAAGAGAAATTTCCTGACATTGTGATTCGTTTTGACACTTTAGTTTTGTATTACGAGTTTTTAGTTTAAATTAATTGTGTTGTGACACTTTAAGCTTAGAAATTTTTACTAGCAGACCTTGCAGTCGAACATTGTTCTTTTTAGAACATCTTTTAGTGCGAAGTATACAAGATAGCTTAATAGCCGTTGTAAAAAACTCATCGCAAGCTTATTAGAATATTTTGAACGGGATAGCGGTAGTAATGGCCCTTTAAGTCCCTTAAGTAGGCGATCAACTCAGTATCAATCAATTCGAAATTGGTCAAAGAATGCATAGAGAAGCTGAATAAATTAGGCAAAGAAAACAATGTCCTCCTACACTGGGTGCCTGCTCACCAAGGGATAGAAGGCAATGAAAAAGCAAATAATCTAGCTAGGAAAGGAGCGAACACTAACTGGACCAGAACCGTTCTGCTTTCCAAGTGGTAACCAACTCAAGGCGGAACTCAAGAACTTGGAAGATTCCATCCGCAACCTGGAATGGAAATCTTGCAATGGTCTAAGACACTCGAAGAAGTTTCTGAGGGCTTATGATCAAGAAAAATCACAGATCTTCCTGGGTCGAGTAAGAACAATCTTCGGATTGTCACGGGGTTTTTAACAGGACACTGTCTCCTCAATGAACACCTCAGTAGATTGAAACTAAGAAGAAACGGCGAATGCAGATTCTGTGGGGAAGATGGTGAAACACCAGTACACCTCATCACTGAGTGCGCCGAGACGACAACCATTCATGCCATGAATTTTGATACGACTGATATTGGAGATGGAGAACTACCCTCTATAAAACCGTCCCAGATACTGGCTTTTGTCAAAGCCCTGAGACTGTATGATGAGTTATGATTCAAGAAAGGGGGACACAATGGATCTGTAAGGTCGAAGTGATTAACCCCCCTCCCACTCATTCTAAAATTCCAAAAAAAAAAGTCCCTTAAGTGCTGTTAAGGAGGTGAGTTTTGTTGATGTAAATAATAACTGTTTATATATTATTTATAATTAATTTATTTTTGTTTCCCGAAATATTCTGATTAAAAGAAACGCTACTAAAAGTTTATTTGCTATGATCTATATGTTCCTCCGTACTTACACATCCTGTAATCTACTCTTGTAAGGCTCCAACGACTTTCCTGTGATGAGCTTTATATCCTTAGACTCGGATATGATCAGTCTGTTCAGACTCGAGTTCAATTTGTCCGGGATTTCTGTCATACCGTTTCCTCTACAGTGAACTTCAAAATCGTCCTCGTGCGAGTACACTGAACAGTTGAAGGGTGCTCCTTGGGCCATAACTAGGTCTAAGGTGACTAGATTAAACAAGACATACCATAGCGCGAGTTGGACCAAATAGCGCATGACCTGCAAGAGAAAAAAAATAGATTAATAAATGGAGTGGTCAGAATTAAAATCGATCAAGTCCAATTTCCTACTATTTTAAGATAATCGTCTTTATACATTTGATTGATTCATTTTCCAGTAGAAAAATGAATCAAGTCATACTTCACGCATTAAGCAGCTTAGAAATTAAGTGTATTCAAGATCTGTTCGCTACTGCGCATCACAACATCGCCCTGTATTTCAGGAACTAAGGAGGCTAGGACAAATATATGTGTAGCATATTTAGTTTCATAAAAAATTAAGCAAAGTATTGTGAAAATCGCATCATTGTATCTCTAGTTATAAACGAGAAATTCCATAAAACACACGACAATGGGATACTCTGTACAGATGTGATGCGCAGTAGTGAAAACCACACACAGTAGATTAAGCCACAGTAGATTAAGCCACACCTAAAATTCCAAATACACGTGCTTGGATTAAGGATTAATTAAGGTTTGCAGAGCTTCAGCATTTGCCATAAAATAGCGGGCCATTTGTTACAAAACCATATAAATTATATATCGCTGTAATCACAAAACTTCAATCTATTTCCGTATTGTAACGGAATTTTAAATTATGTCTTTATTTTCGAGAAAATTTAGTCCAAACATAGGGAATATTTTGTTGATGTTTGATCATCAAAATCTTAAAAATAAAAAAGTTGTCTAAAAATGTGCTACAATACGGATATACATAGTATAATACCTTATCTTTAATTCCCTTCTTCATTTGTGTAAAAATACCTAGCCAGTTTTACATAAAACGTTAAATTCCGAACGCTTATTTTGCTACTTTTTCGGACTAGGTGAAATGGACTCTTAACCAAAACATAAAACATTAACGTATAATTTTAATGCCTGCTATATTATGGATAGGGTAAACTGATAAATATCTTTTCGGTAAAAATACCTGCGCTCGTATAATTAATGGATCTAGATTATTTATTAACCGTACGATAAACGTATTTTAATTGAGTGTTTACACAAGCTTTAGTGTTATCGATTAATAAATCTGACACTATACCGAATATCGCACCTACAGACTAATTTATTCAGGCTTCAATGAAATGATGATTGATAGTTATAACGGAAATTTAGTTCATTCAGTAGATTATTTATAATATTAAATAATTTCGTATATGGTAATATTATATCGTGTGGTGGCATCGGAAAAATGGAAAACACACACATGTAAATTTTGAAAATGCCAAATATTTGCTCGCCAGATGATTTTATGCAAAAGTTGTATTAAACTTTTTTGAAAAATTTTGAGAAATTTCTATTTGTTTTTTATTCACCCTGTATATAACAAGAGGCAGGTTTGACTTTGACGTTTGACAGATGACAGGTTTGATGTTTGACATTTGACGTTTGACAGATGACAGGCTTGACATTTGACGTTTGACGTTTGATAGGTGACAGGTTTGACGTTTGACAGGCGACAGGTGACAGGTTTGACAGGTGACAGGTGACAGTCCCCTGCTCCTCGCGCATGCCCAGTGCCCACTCCTGGCTTCCACCGCCACCGCCTGGCGCAGAATCGGTCATCTACCTCTACTAGTGGCATTAAAGTTGTAGGTTCTTTCGTCTAGCATTTCGTTTTATTTGACGGAGGCATTTAAATGTTATCTGCAAAAATCTACCTTCAAAATACTAAAATTTTATACGGCCCAGAGAAAGCTACAATTAAAATACCAGCAAAAATACGATTTTGTTATTGTCAAGGGTGGTTTGGAAATGCTGGTTATTTTTTATTCTAAATTTTGGAATGATCATCTACAGAATTAGTTGAACATTACTTGTACATTACTTTAGTTTTTGATAAATTAATTTTGAGACCTACTTTATTACTTTTTTCCATAGCAACTGTTAAAATTGCCTTATATCTATCAAAAATAGTAGATAAAATATTTTTTTATAGTACTTTAACCACAAGGGTAGATTAAATGATACTTTAACAGCGAGGATAGGTTAAAAACTTTATTTCTTCTCGCACGTTTTTTAATTGCTTCCATTTTTGAAAATTTTTGTATTCCTTTTCATAAGTTATTCGGGATTTAAATGGAAGTAGTTTGGATATGGCGTTTGTCGCCTCAGCCTGAATATCTGTTGGTAATTTACTTATTTCGTTTTGAGCCATTTCTGGCTCCAATTCAATCAGCAATCGACACGAAAGAGAATTAAAATATATTGAAACCATAATTTTTGAATAAAATTCATAGAAAATCCCCCTTTATTATTATGCTCAAACTGACAACTAAAAGAGACAGCTTTATTTATTTGTCAAATTACATAGAAACCAACGCCAACCCAGCACAATATTTTTTCTACTCGTAATAAATTCCTTGAAATAATAATTTCTGAATATTTTTTAAAACGTAACTGGCTATGGAAAAAGATATTGTTTTATACACGACGATAAAATTGCATTATCTTCTCCCGAAATTAATTCATCTTTTCGATCGACTATAAAATACCATTTTATCGTCTTGTATAAAAAATAACTATTAGAGGCTATTGCTTCTTTCATTATAATTTTGGCATTATTAAAATCTATGATGTGTCCTGTGTCCCATAATAAGTATCTTGCTTTAAGAATTTTTTAAAAGATTCGCCGCAAAAAAGTGTAAAAATCATTTTTGTTATGCTGTATTCGTAGACCTTCGATATGTTTATGTTGGAAATTTAGAACAATTATCGTCTTGAGATGAAATTGTTACATATTTGCTTTTGCGTCACATGTAAATTTCATATTGGAAATGTAAATCAAAACAGTCTTAAATCTATTTTAGCACCACATTTTTTTTTTCATTTTAAAATATTTTTGAAAGAAACAACAACAATTTTATTAAAAATACATTTCCATCTTTAGCTTATCTAGCTTATCTATGTCTCTAGCTCTCGTGCATTTCTTCACCATCCTAGATATTCTTGTAAACTTATCTTTTTATTATTATTTATGTATAAATGGCATTGATGAGCCGTTTCTTATGTCTTTTACCTGTCCCAGTACCTAGGCTAACGTAAATCTACACACACCGGAAAAATCTAGGGATATCATTTTATTAAAGTTAAAAATAAATGTTTTGAATAAACAACCACATATTTGTAGGCCGATTCTTTCTACTTCGATTGAAACCAAGTAGTCACACTAGATATTTCTAAATTTGGGATATTTGCAGAAGTGTTTGTGCATTTTTTGTCAAATGTATAAAAAGCACCTAGCATCAATTGTTCGAATTTAACCTGTACTGACTATGTTTTTATGATAACTGGTCAGAATTTATTCAAATAACTCTGTTTAGTATTAAATGGCATTATGGAGCGTAGACATCTTAACAGAGACGAAATGCTAAGGGCCATGGGTATGCTCGAAGCTGGAATGCGCCAAATCGACGTAGCTAGAGCATTAAATACAACGCAAAGTGTAATATCGCGATTAAGTGCACGCTACGGTGAAAGTGGTGATGTTGCTGAAAGGCACACAGAGCGACATCGCATTACTACCCCTCAGCAAGATCATTTTTTACAATTAAATGCTCGACGCCGACCGACTCTAACAGCACCAGAGCTTAGTTTAATTCTCCAGGAAACACATAATGTAACCGTGAGTCCTGACACTGTTCGCAATAGATTAAGAGAGGTCAACTTAAGAAGCAGACGCACTTGGAGAGCTCAACCCTTAACGAGAGGAAATCGAGAGGTACGATATTTGTGGGCTCAAGATTATGTTCAGTGGTCGAATGAACAATGGGCCAATGTTCTCTTCACGGATGAGTCACGCTTTGGAATTCCTCGGGATTCGAGAAGGCTTAGGCTATGGAGAGAACCGGGAAATCTTATTCGGTTGGATCATGTTCAGGAAGTGCACCCTTATCAAGGTGGAACAGTTATGGTCTGGGGAGGAGTCCAGTTAGGCCGAAAAACCGATCTCGTTTTTCTTGAAAGGTTTCTAATAGGACATATCGTGATTTAATTCTTTAGCCTATCGTGTTACCATATGCCAATGATTTTGGGAGAAACTTCATTCTCATGCATGACAATGCACGGCCTCATATAGCCAGAGTGGTAAGTGAGTTTATCAATACTCATCAATTAAACATCTTACCCTGGCCGGCACAATCTCCTGACCTCAACCCCATCGAGCACGTATGGGACGCGGTCCAAAGAAGAATTTTGAGAATGGGTATGCCTCGTGAAACTCATAGGGATCTGGTTCGGGCCGTGAATGCAGCGTGGCAGGCTGTACCTCAAGAAGAGATCGACAACGATGTAGGGCTGTAATGAACAGTAGAGGAGGCCATACCCTTTATTAGGTAAAAATGGTTTTATCTTTTTTTTTAATTCACACTTTAGAATAAAAAAAATGTGTGTATTTTTTTGAGTTCAATAAAAATCAAGGTAAATTTGAAAAATTCGGTAAATTTCGCATTTTTATTTCCAATACGTCCTGTAAACTATTTGTTTATTTTAATTTTATTATATCAGAAATTCAAATAATTAAATCACTGACGATGGCTGGATAAAATTGTAATATCCCTAGACATTTCCGGTGTGTTTATTTACTTATTGGATTGGTACCTATGTAACTCTTATGTCTTCATATAATTTTTAGTCATATAAATGCATTGTAGAGCCCAAAAGGCTCGCTTCTTTTTTGAAAACTGTTTCTACTTTGAAATCATAAATACAATGATCTTTAATATCTCAATATAGTAAAGCCAGAGCTGAGAAATATTATTTTACTCAGATAAAGACATAGTTTTTATAAAAAAAGGGAAAAAATGAAAAATCGTAGAAAATATATTTTCCTTATAAGATTTTTTTTCTTTTAAATTAGGGAAATATCACATAAAAACTTGTATCATTACTACCAGATGTTAAACTTGTTGAAAAATTAATATTAGTCTTGTGGGCGTTTTAAACTGAGGCAATTTTTCTCTTTATTACTTTTCATTAATTTTTTTCACACATTTAGCC